AAACTAAGAACCTTCAAAATAAATTGGAACTTAGAAAGCGTTTAAATATCGCATACTTTAACAAATATTTCTTATAACAATAATCGATGTTTCTAACAAGGTATATAATGCTAGCGACTCACCCTCACTTCGCTCGGGTTCGTCCTTACTTACGTTTTAACGTTTAGTTTCGATTTTTCTATCATCATACGAAATTTCATCAAAATCCCTCTAGTGGGTTTTCCGTGATACGGTAACAGACAGATAGACAGACAGACAGGCAAAAATTCTAAAATTTATAGAATCGGCCTCTGTATCGATAATAATGTCTATTTCAATAAGATTTTCCAAAAAATATTTAATGTACAGATTCGACTTAGTCACAATTTTATTATGTGTATAGATATAGACTAGAATTTATTTAGAATTTAGAAATCATAAAACATTTCACCCTTGATTTCTTCATAACACTGTATAAAGTTATCGATACTTCAAATTTAAATATAAGAAAACATTAAAAGTATCATATTTATATTTAAAACTTCAATCTCAAACGTAGTTATAGTTTTCTTTAACATGTTATATTAGAAGTTTGAAGTATATTCTCTTGTTGAAACTTGTCATGGGCAACTAAGTTATTGCGAAGCTATATTATGTTTATAGAAACATTGTCATTGATATTTGCATGTGCGAATCATTTCCAACATGATTACCACTTGCTTTATGGTAAAGGAAAACATCGTGAGGAAACCTGCATGTCTGAGAGAACCTAGCAATTTTCGAAAGATATGTGAAGTCCGCCAAACCGCACTTGGCCAGCATGGTGGACTATAGCCTGATCCCCTCGCACTGAAGAAAGGCCCGTGCCCAGCAGTGGGACGTTAAAAAGGGCTGAACACAATACAATACAATACAATGTGTGACTATGTTTGTTACTTCTTCATGCTAAAACAGCTTCATTATTTTGAACGTAGCATTTATTGTACACAGCCTGTTACTTTAGTTCACCTATGATCTAACAGACTATTATAAATAATAAATATAAACTAATAATAATAAAATATAAACAATAAACTGTGCCAAAAGTTTGTATCTATACTAATATTAATATTATAAAGAGGTAAAGTTAGTAAGTTTGTGAATTGTGAGTTTGTGACGTTGTAGGGGGTAATCTCTGGATCTACTGAACCGATTTAGATGAAATTTGGTAAGAAGATAGTTTGAGACCCTGAAAAGGACATAGGACTTTTGATTCCAGAAATCATCCCTTAAGGGATTGAGAATGGGGATGAAAGTTTATATGAGAAATCAATCTAGTGACGAACCCGAGAGAAGCGAGGGTGAGTCGCTAGTATAAAATATAATAACAAAAATCTCCTCATGTTTCAAAACATACATATATTAAAGTTACAACAGCATTTCCCCTTAATTTGTGTATACTTTATACTTTCGTACATCCCACTTGATGTTTGATTTGAAATGAAAACACACGCTGTTCAAAGGAATTATATCAACTTTTCCATCTCTGAGTATCATTTATCAAAACCCTACTTTACAATCTAGTATGCATTGCGCGGTGGTAAGTTTCTTTTATCTCTAATAAGATCCCAATTCGAATGTCGCGGGATCCCTAAAGTAATAAACTACTAGTGCACAGTACCCTATCTCCATTGTTTATTGCGACACGTCTTAGATGATAGATGCTACTATAAAAGTTACCACCTCCAATAGCTAAAAGTTGAATTCCTTTGTTAAAACTTCTTATCACAGGCCAATGTATCTTAAAAGTTTAAGAGTTATTTTTGTGAAGCTTACGTTTATTCTTGACTTATTGTAATAGTTCTTTTTAAATAAGTATAGAATGTGGATTTAGAAAAATACAAAATTTAAAAATTTTCCTTATATTTCATGGAAGTTTGTAAAATATCTTATTGGTTAATTATATCTATTTAAAAATATTTTATAAGTTAAGATAAATATAAGTGTAACTGATCGCTGTGTGTACATTGGAGATATTTGAGAAAAATTATCATTGAGGGTCTTTATTAACGCAATAGAATCCAAAACAATAACTTATAGAATTTTTATCTGTTTGTCTTATTAAATATTCGCTAATCTCAGAAACGGTTTAACCGATTTGAGTGCGGTTTTCATTTATGTATCGTAGTAAGCTTCATTTAACGTTAAGTATTTGTTTTATTTCAATCGGTTCATAAATAAAAAGTTACGTTAATTTAAAGAATCACAGCCAACATTTATTGGAAAAAATGCTATAAAATACTATTCAATTAATTTAGCTGAAAGTTTGGTTAACTATATTAGGTACAGTTTGTAAAGCGCTGATGCCTGAAAGTTGGCGCAAAAAAATTTAGAGCCACGAAATTCTAAACAAAATAGGGGCGCACCCAAGCGAATCTAGAATAAGTCACTAGAGTATACTATAGCTTTATAACTCATCAAGAAAACCTTATCAAAATCAGTTCATAAAATTTCAAAATAAGCCATTTCCTTAGATGAAAATGTCAACATGCTTAAGGGTAAAAAGTAAATATAAAAACTGTAACCATTTTATTTTATTTTCATATATATATATTTTTGTATTTTCGTATCGTAACATTGGAAACACGCTCAATTGCGTATAGGAAATACGTCGAATTTGTAGAACAAATATAAATGGTTGAGGGTAGATCGGGGGTAGATAATTACATTTTTTTGATCTTCAAGAACGGGGGATGACGTCAGGACCATGCCATTGTGCTGTAGGTGTTTTGATAGTGTCAAAGATAATAGAATAGACTAAAAAATATATAATATTTATTAATATGTACTGTTTTTCGTCTCTAGGTATATTTTTCCAATTAAAATCTGATAAGGCAATACATATTAATATAATAAAGCTAACTTCATTGGCGTACATTTTAAGGCCTACAGTTTTTCAGTATATTGTTTTGATGTAAAATCTGTATGTCTTAAGGTTTAGCCCGCGTGAGCCATGTAAACTTTGGACGACTTGATAGAACCAGTTATTGTGTTTTCCCATGAGAACGAAACACTTTTCTGTAAAAGTACCGTAAGTGTTGAATCGAGTAATAAGTTATCAATACACAAAATTTAGTTAAAATCGGTTATTATTTATTGTTTTGTTAACTTGAACGTATAGCAATTAAAAAAAAACTTTATAAAACCATATCAACGGAAGTAATTAAAAAGCCGTTTTTTTAAATCCCAGTTACATCGTCATTAAAATTGAGTAAAAAACATCTCATCGCTATAGTTACAGATATGCACTTCAGCTTTTATTCGTGAATCATATAAGTTCTGCTTTTTGGCAGATATCATCTTTATTTTATACGCTGACGTAATGCTTATTGGTTTCCAGTGATGAATCAGTAATGGCGGGCCCGCAAAATATCACTTTCTGCTAAAACCAAACCTATGACAATCGTCCTATAAACAAATGTCATTCGCCAACAGTAATTCTCTTAGATCATTAGTTTTTATGAATCATACTTATAATATACTAGCGACTCGCTCTCGCTTCGGTCGGTTTCATCCCTAGCTTGCTTCTCAATACAAACTTTCATTCCCATTTTCACCCCCTTAAGGGATGATTTTCGGTAAAAAAGTATCCTTTATCCTTTCCAAGGTCTCAAACTATCTTCTTACCAAATATGACCTAAATCGGTTCAGTAGATCCAGAGAGTGCCCTCTACAACCACACAAACTCACAAGCTTTACCTCTTTATAATATTAGTATAAATACATAATACAATAATAATACGTATATGAGGCAGCTTGGGAAACCGAATGAAGCGGGTTCAAATCCTGGGTCTCGCACCTCTGATATTTTCATGTGCGAATCATTTCCAACATGATTACCACTTGTCTTACGGTCAAGGAGCACATTGTGAGGAAACCTGCATGTCTGAGAAAACCTAGCAAGTTTTCGAAAGACATGTGAAGTCCCACACACTTGGCCAGTGTGGACTATGGCCTGATCTTTCATTCTTTAAAGGGACGCCCGAGCCCAGCAGTGGGACGTTAAAAAGGGCTGAATACAATACATTTAATACATAAATAAATATGTTAGGACATTAACACACAGCACCATCTAGTTCCATGGTAAGCTACGAGGCTTGTGTTATGGATACCAGATATATAACTTTAAATACATACATATTATAAATATAAACACCCATGACTGAAGTACAAACATCCGTGCTCATCACACAAATGAATGCCCCCAGCGAGACTCGAACCCACGACCGCTGGCACAGTAAGTAGGGTCACTGCAAACTGAGCCACACGTGACGTCAAAATGAAAAATACATGTAGGTATATGAGAAAGATCTTTCATGATTTAAAAATGAACGTATACCATCTCAATACAATTATTGCAGTAAATTAATACTTACTCAATGATTATAAAGGGACTCTAATTTACGAGAACAAATTATCGTAAATAACTCATACGCAATAAAACATTATTTATGCTGTATAAACGACAAATGGTCGTAAATCTATTGATAAACCGTTTGGGTAAACATTTATAAATAGTACCGGCGTGCATAAGCTCTTGAAATAATAGACAATCGTGTTTAAATGTTTCAGAGAATTACATCGATGTTAGCTTTTATATGTATCGGAACATTGAAAATATTTACTATTGAGGAATCTAAAAGAAAACCTTAAAGTAATATGAAAACCGATATATAGTAATTAAAGCCACGCTTCTTTATCGATACTATGTAAAATATATTTTTTATTCTATTCGCTTCCTAATAGCCTTTAGCCATTAAGCAATGTCTTAAGATTCTATGATTACCATCAATAAATGAATTAATAATTATTATTTTTTCAGGACTGTGGTCTTATATCTCAAAATTCAACTTTTGATTAATATGTATTAACTATCAAAAACGTTTTAATATGCAAAAATTTTAAATAATCGTCAAAACCAATAATAAAATTAGATAAATGCAGGTTATAATTCAAAAAAGTTACTGTAAATTTGCACTTACCTAACAATTTCATAACTTCAGCCTGGCTAATGAGCACGTTGAGATGGCCCGTTGCCAGGGGCAACGTGAGCCAGACCGCCCAAGCGATAACGAGTCTTTTGAACGCCATTACTGATATATCACCCTAATGATTTCAGTTTCACTTTTAAATACATTTTAACACTATCCACGTTACAGCAATTTTACGTAGTATCCATTTTATTCAACCAAATAAATTAACTTTAATAATATAAATGCTTAAAAATAACTAAATCATAATTAAATATAAGCCTTTGAACTAGAGCAAAAATTAAGGAAATAAAAAAACGTATCAAACAGTAACGAATATATGTATGTAACAATTGAAATCGTAATAGTTCGGTTTCAGTGGTACACAGTTGTGTAGGGCGTCCGTCCGCGCCGCACTGCCGTGCCGTATACCGCGAGCCAACAAGTTACTCACAGACATGCGCGTTTAACCCCTAGAGAAGTGTCGTATGCAATGGACCACTATTAACACTCGAGATATAGTTTTATATATATATACTAATGATAACATATGTTAGATTGCATATAATATTATAGGAATATTAGTTAGAAATTTATATATTAACTAAAGATCTTTAAAATGCACTTTTTTTACAATAATAATCTTTAAAAAAAATCCGGACAAGTGCGAGTCGGACTCAAGGTTCCGTATAAATTTGTAGAAAATCTGACTTTAATTTTCATTTTTTTTTGGAATGTTTCCTTTATTTGTGCTGTAGGACCTTGCTTTTTGCTAAGTTTCGTGATTCTACGTCAACGGGAACTACCATATAGGTTTTCAACCCAAAACCTATAAGAGTACTTCCGGTTAACTTAGAATTGTCAATTTTGGTTAAACACAAGTTCGTAACAGAAAAATTGGTAAAGTGCGAATTGTTCTTCCTTGAACATCTACATCTATAAGGGAAATACAATAACTTAGGGGTTTCTGTACCTATAGCTCTATATTCCAAAATTTTGATCAATTTTTATCAAATTTTTAATATAATAGTTTTTTAGATAAAATGTAGGAAAAGGTGAACTAATGCCATTATTAAGATAGCTTAATTTTTGTATATTTAATTTAATGTCCTTTAAAATATACTTTTTCAATTTATATATTCATATTTCTCGTAACAGGCTCTTATATTTGATATAACATACCTTAAATTATTGTTAACTTTCTCAAGCCCCATAATCATAATTCACATTTTTACACTGCACGATGTCATTTAGTAACTTTATTCTATCTTACACTACTCATTACCTGCAGAGAAATTATATACCTATTAAAAAATTGTAAAGTAAAAATCTTATAAATTTTTTATAGAGTAACAGAAATTTATATATATCATACACGCAGCTATTATAAAACATGTAGGTACCTATGTCTCCGACTGCATAATTCTATGTACCTTCGTCAGCTTATTCTTATCTTTTTAGTTCGCTCTTTACGCAGTCGGGTTTTTTATTTTTGTAAATTACTTTTTTATTTACAGCTCTTAGTTTTAATCAGTTAGACAATTTTAGTTTTACTTAACAATTTCTTATGCTAAATTAGTTTTAAATGTTGTATATGTTTTTGTAATCGCCTCTTAAAGACCTGCATTTTGACCACTTACTCGATTGATTCAGGCGAAAAATAAATTTTCAATTCACACAAATTGCCACTTTAGATCCGCCATTTTTATTTTTAATGACATCTATATATTCTATGATACTCGCGTTATCAAGACAAATAGAATGACGTATGAGTCATCAAAATCGGAGTAGTTACAAGGGAACATAGAAACGGCCATACATACAAGTCAAACGCATAACCCTGCTTTGGGCTTCGCCGCAGTCGGGTTAAACAATTATTATATATGCATAAAAATAAGTTTATTTTTTAAACAGTAAAGTAAATTACAGGAAATTGTAGGAAAAAATAATATTTGTCAAAGAAACAAATCAGTCATGTATTGAAGTCTTTGAAAGAAGCTAAAATGGTGTAAAAATTGAAAGGCTTTGAACACTCTCGAAAGGAATTAATTGAGTTTGTCTCTAGGGAGCGGTGTTTCCGCTTTGCATTAGGCCCATTCGCGTATCGTTAATACAATTATTTTCTCTTTTGCTAAAAGATATACCTACAATAAATAAAATTAACTACTCAAATTATATATATATATATATATATATATATATATATATATATATATATATATATATATATATATATATATAAATTATATTATATTTTCATTAAGTATATATATATATATATATATATATATATATATATATGATATATATATATATATATATATATATATATATATATATATATGTGTGTGTGTGTGTGTTTGTCTCTTTTTAGTGTTGCATTTCAGTTTCATCGAGTTTCAAATCACAACAATTCTAAAGAACTTCATTTCAAAAAGAAACACTATAATAAGCGAGATTTTATACATTTTCAATTATTTTAATGAGTGTCTGAAAGTATTATTATTGTTTAATTAATGTGATTTATTTAACAGGAATCACAGCTTAGTGCCCGGATATTGTCATAATTGTTAAGGAAATAAGTTTGATAAAAATAAATATAGTTTAAAAAAATTAAAAACACTTAAGCTTTAAGCTGCTAATTTAATATATGGTATTTTTTATAAATAAAATGAACCTAAACTTAAAGGTCTTCGTAGTATCAATTATAAAATACCACTATACCCTTCTGGTCTCATCAATCAGATCGACAAACAAGCGAACTAAAAAACAGAGAACAAGTTGACAAAACAACATCAAAATCAGTTAAGCCGTCTAATTACTAGGGAACGTAGAATCGGACATACATACATACATACATACATACAGGTCAAACGCATAACCCTCCTTTGGGTTTCGCCACAGTCGGGTAAAAATAATAATTTAAACTTATAAAGATTATTACTATCTTATAATTAAATAAAGTAAAATATATAGCGCTTATTTATGAGGCACAAGAATGTATCGATTTTCTTCTCTTTCATTAACTCCGAGTTCCACTTGTTGTTTTGCCTAAAGTGTATAATGAAACGGCAAATTCCGGTATATTAAGCTAGTTCATCCATCAGTGCCATAGCTTGATTATTTATACATTCTCCACAGGCGGGTAATCTAGCTGGTAAACTTGTTTGATGTATTAGGGAAATGAAAATATGTTTACTAAAAGTTTTGTTATTATTGGCTTAGGATTACTGTTCGTAGTTAGTTAGGAATTAACTAAGATTCCCTTGTACTTAATGAAAATATAATATAATTTATATAAATATATATATATATATATATATATATATATATATATAGTAACTTTTAGTATATATAAAAACTTTTAGTAAACATATTTTCATTTCCCTAATACATCAAACAAGTTTACCAGCTAGATTACCCGCCTGTGGAGAATGTATAAATAATCAAGCTATGGCACTGATGGATGAACTAGCTTAATATACCGGAATTTGCCGTTTCATTATACACTTTAGGCAAAACAACAAGTGGAACTCGGAGTTAATGAAAGAGAAGAAAATCGATACATTCTTGTGCCTCATAAATAAGCGCTATATATTTTACTTTATTTAATTATAAGATAGTAATAATCTTTATAAGTTTAAATTATTATTTTTACCCGACTGTGGCGAAACCCAAAGGAGGGTTATGCGTTTGACCTGTATGTATGTATGTATGTATGTCCGATTCTACGTTCCCTAGTAATTAGACGGCTTAACTGATTTTGATGTTGTTTTGTCAACTTGTTCTCTGTTTTTTAGTTCGCTTGTTTGTCGATCTGATTGATGAGACCAGAAGGGTATAGTGGTATTTTATAATTGATACTACGAAGACCTTTAAGTTTAGGTTCATTTTATTTATAAAAAATACCATATATTAAATTAGCAGCTTAAAGCTTAAGTGTTTTTAATTTTTTTAAACTATATTTATTTTTATCAAACTTATTTCCTTAACAATTATGACAATATCCGGGCACTAAGCTGTGATTCCTGTTAAATAAATCACATTAATTAAACAATAATAATACTTTCAGACACTCATTAAAATAATTGAAAATGTATAAAATCTCGCTTATTATAGTGTTTCTTTTTGAAATGAAGTTCTTTAGAATTGTTGTGATTTGAAACTCGATGAAACTGAAATGCAACACTAAAAAGAGACAAACACACACACACACACATATATATATATATATATATATAGCCAGCCGAGCCAGCGAGAGAATAAGATATAATAATGTGTAAAAAATAATGGCTTGCCATGTTGCCATGGTAACCGTTGTTATTATCTGACAAATATATAATATTATATTCTATGAATATATGATTGTAATATGCCTGATATGCCTTATTTAATTATTGATTTGATGATAATTTGCGATATTTACCAAAGAAGTTTTACTTCACACACACACTCATTTTTTTAAACATTTTAATTTTCGAAAAACATGTTAACTCCGCCAACCCACACTTGGCTAGGCCACCTGGCCTAATCCCCCTCGCATAAAAGGGAGGCCCGTGCCATGCAGTGGGGCCTTAAAAAATACTAAATACATACTTTTTTTTAAACAATACTATATGCATTATATATAGTTTTATAGAATATAATCATTTTATATCAATAACATATAATATTATTTTATAAAAATCTTTATTCGCAAAAAAACAGTCAGGGAAGAGTATAGTAAAAACATATAGCAGTCAATAACAGCGACCCTGCGAGTGAGACACTATAGTGGATCAATATTCATAATTAAGGGAATATGACGCACCTAATTATAAAATTTAATTCAAATTCTGAAACGTTTACGCATAAACGCTTCTCTCGACATCAAATAGTACTATTTTATTCATGTTATTTCTACTTGTTTCGAACACTCGTGCAATTCATATTGAATTCAAGTCTCATAAACATAATTACTACCATATTTTGTATTATGTATGTCCGCTACGGATGCACCTACGAATAGGGTGACTAAATACAGGGTGTTTATTGTATGTCCATACTTATCGTTACTTTATTAGCAATAAATTTTCCAGGTATTCTGTTCAATATAACAGTGAATTAAGTATAACTTGTTAT